GCGGGAAGAGAGGTGGAGATGGCGCATAGGAGGAAGGGGGAATGGCGGGGGGTGGTCGACGATAACGGGGACGAAGATGAAGAAGGAGGAGGTGACGACGAGGAAGAAGAAGACGAAGAGGAAGGAGGGATGACGACGACGACGAGGAGAAGAAGAAGGGGAAGAAGGAAGTGAGGAGGATAAGAAAGAAGAAAAAGAATAATAATAATAATAATAATAAAATTTTGGTTTCGGCTTACCTGCGCGTCGGCTTCAGGATCAGCGGCGAGGCAGCGATGGCGAGGACTAGGCGCTAACATGGCAGCAGCGACGACAACGAGGCGGCTGCTGACGTGGCGACGATGACTATGACGACGAGGCGGCCACGACGGCAGTTACATAGTTTTGTTGTGGAGGTAATGTCAGCGGCGATGGCTATGTTGTGACGGTGCTCGAGACGATGGCGATGGCGATGAATCGCCGATGATGTCAATGACATGGCAATGACGGCGACGGGGTCGACGGCGATGACGATGAATCAGGGCGGGAGGGAGGGCCGAAGCCGCTCCGATACCAGTGTGACGGGGCAGAGGTAGAGCAGCGAGGTCGGGGAAGAGACAGGGAGGGAGTGAGAGCACATACACACACTCACTCAACTCGACACAGACTCGACACGACTCGACGGACGCAGACACAAAGTGGTAAAGTCGCAAAGTCGCAAAGTCGCAATCTTGGTTCCGTACACAATGTTGCAGCAAGTTACACTAAAGCACAAGCACTGAGGCCGAAAACTGAGTCCCTGAACTCAGGTTGAGTCCGGTCTTAAGTACCGGACTCAAGTTGAGTCCGGGGGCAAAAGTGCAATTTGCCTCGGTGATGAACTGAAAAAAAATCGAAGGTCTGAGCCTGAGCGCCAGAATCTCGGATGGCGCCAAGTACGAAATCCGAAAGTGCCAGAGGCGGGATTTGAGAACGGGCGCTAACTGCAAAGGGCACCAACAGTCAGGAACCGGAGATCAGAAACCCCCAAAAAAATAGAATAGCAGCCTGGCGGGTGGTACCCCGCGGACCAGGGATCGGGCCCTAGCTGAGTCCGTAACACCTGCCCCGTTTGGCCCTGGCCTCTTCCCCTTCCTCGAGACCTCCCTCTGGTCGTGAGAGCAGCATAAGTACTCCCCTGGCTCACGCCACTGTCCTCCTCTTCGAGGCCCCACTCAATCTGGCTATAGGGGACCTCTTCCATACCACGTTCGTCTAACGTGAGGATCAGATGATCCTTGGCCCTGACTTGGCCAGAGATGGTGCGACCCTTCCACTTTTGGCCTTTGTCCAAGTCCTTGTGCCAGAAAGTGGAAACTGACATGGACTTTGCCTCAAAAGGCACAACATCCCTACTCAATGTATCCTAGGTCATGTTGGGTTGTCCACTCCTCTCCTAATAGTGCCCGTGCAAACTCTAAGGCATGGCATGAAAGAATAGTTGAACCAATTGCACACGCGGTTATCGGGTAGCTGAAAATTCAGGAATGAAAATTCTGAAGTGCGAGTTTTAGGCAGTCTGAAAATTTTGAATGGTCCTGAAGTGGTGAAAGGTCCTAAGACCCTAAAAACCACCTGTTTAGGCAGGCTGCATCCAGAAGTGGTGAAGGGTGTCCTGAAGTGGTCAAGTGAGAGTTTTGGGCAGTCTGAAAATCCTGAATGATCCTGAAGTGGTGAAAGGTTCGAAAACCATGAAAACCACCCTTCACCACTTGAGGATGCAGCCTGCCTAAACAAGTGGTTTTCAGAGTCTTTGCAACTTTCACCACTTCAGGACCATTCATGATTTCTGGACCTGAATGGTCCCGAAGTGGTAAAAGGTCCGAAGACCCTGAAAACCACCTGTTTAGGCAGGCTGCATCGTGAAGTGGTGAAGGGTGTCCTGAAGTGGTGATGAAAAATACGATTATTGTTAACCTTCTCTCACCAATTGGGGCTCAGTAACCCCATGGTCAGGGACGGCAACGAACTCATCCATCACACCCTTGAGTGCCCTGGCACTCTTCCTGTGTCGTGAGTGAATAGTCTGCAGCTTGTCAGAGGCTTTGAGCCCCCTAGTGACGTCTGCAAACCGATCCCGAAGGGCCTTCAAAAACTTGCTTAAGGGCTTGATCACTGAGTAGGCGACCATATCATTGTCACATCTGGCGACGCGGGCTAATGACCTGACAAAGTTAGAGGCCTCATCTTTGAGGGCGTGGAAGGTCATGAGGACTTGCTCCTCGGGGATGATATCTTGGAGGTGCACATAAGAGTTTATGTTGGGCTCCAATATATCGAAGTTCTCTCCCTTTTTTTCCCACTGTAGAGATCAGGGAACTTCACCTTTACGCGCTCTCTACAGGGGCGTGCTTCTTCCTCCTTCGGGGCGTTATTTTGGCGGCTTCTATAGCGCCTGTGCAAAAGTTCTCTGTATTGTCTAATCGCGCCTGCACTTCTGTGCCCACACGCAACATCATATCACATGCAAAGTCTATAAATCCTAAGCGTATGGACAGCAGGGCAATATCGTGCCCCCTCTGATGGCGGAATTTCTCTTCCTGCACCCTCAACAGTACCTCTACGTTTTGGGACAGGAGCCTAACCTGGGTCTTGAGATCAGCGGTCTCCTTCAACTCTCCTCCCCTCTCTGCAGCCTCATTCAGTCTCTTTTCCATCTCATCCCCTGCCTCCATTCGCAGTCTCCTTTCTCTGGTGAGGTGCAACTTCCACTCCAACTCCTTCTCCTCCGCCATGTTTCGTTGGCGCAAGGGATTTGTCTCTGTTTGAATCTGCTTTACCGCTGCCTCCCTCTCGGCCTGGGGAACATATAACATTGCTTCTTCTTCTTCCCCCAGCAACAGGTTAGCCACCCACTTAGTCACCATTTTTTCTAGTCTTGTGTCTGTCAGCTTCGTGCCACTTGACTTCCCTTTCTCCTCTCTCCTCACGTTCCTCTCTAAGGGAGTCTCAACTCTTCCACTTCTTCTTCTTCATCCACTGAGGCTGCAACTTCCTCTTTCTCCTTCTGCAGCCTCTTCAACTCCTCCTCCAACTCTTTTTCCTTTTTTGCTTTCTCTTCCAGGAGCGTCAACTTCTTCGCCTTCTTCTGCAGTCCTTTTTCTCTCTCCTGGCCTTCTGCTCGACCAATATCCTCGCGGCCTCTTGCTCCTGCTCCTTTGTATAAGGAGTGGTCCTTGTACCACCCCTCGTCTCAACTCGACACGTGAACGTGTGCCAGAAGCCTAATGGGAACAGGAGACACCAAAGGGTCCCCCAGATGGAGAACCCCACGAGCAAGCCGTACATCGGATAGTCATCCATGGTGATCGACACACAACAAGGAACTATTTCACTCCTCACCACGTAGACTTATCCCACCAACTGACAGACTGACTCTCTAAGGACTATAGAATCCTTTTGTGATCCTGTCAACTATGGTCTTTAGCCTATTCCTACTGCTAAGGCTGTCACTACACGACTTCACTGATGATCAGGAGGCATTTAAGGAGTTCCCCGTAACTCCTCAGGAATTCTTTAACGTCGCAAACAGGACGATGTGATCAGCAAGTCCTCTCAACACGTATACAGCTGGTTGTGCAGCCCACATCTCGGATTTTGGGCCCACCATGCCACACTGAGCAGCCCGCCGGTCTGTACCGGTCCTTGGGAGGGTTAGGCCTATGGGACGTGTCAATCGTGAGACATGGACAGCAACCCTAATCAGCCCGTGTGGGTTTGGTCAACACAGCTCTACGACCTCATACACGGAATTCTATCACCTGGACAGACTCAGCAAATACCATGGGGCGAGTGCACATCCATAGGGCGAGGGGATGGGTTGAAGGCTTGGCGAGATTATACCAACTCCAGCTTGGTCAGATCTCGGTCAACGGCCTTGATCAATGTCAGTCAATCTGCAGTCAACGTCGATAACCACCTTGGTCAACACCGGTCAATGCTGGCCAACCTCCTTGGTTAACGCTGGTCAACGCCTCGGTCACCGCTCCGGTCAACTCAACAAGTTCGGCTATGGCTGCCGACCCCTTCTCCTTCACCAACCTTCACCTTCCTCCTTCTTCACCCCGGCTATGGCTTCTCCTCTTCTTTGTCTCTCCATCCTCCTTTACTTCTTTCTTCTTCCTCGGTCTTCCTTCTCACTTCTGGTCCCTTCCTTCGTCTTCCTCGCCGTGTCCGAGCTCGGCGGCTATGGCCGCTTCTGTCCCCCTTGAGCCACAACAACCAATCTTGTACCGCTCCTCTCTCTCTCTCTCTCTCTCTCTCTCTCTCTCTCTCTCTCTCTCTCTCTCTCTCTCTCTCTCTCGTCATCTGTGCAGGTGGGAGGCGTCCTTCTGCAGCGGCGCAGCTATGGCGGCTCCTTCTTCCTCTATTGCGGACACTGACCTAGCGCCCAGCTGGCGCCTCTTCTCCTTGTGCTATCGCGCAGATGCTAACGTGGCGCCCAGCTGGCGCCTCTCCGACCTCACGCGGATGACGACGATGACACTGCGGAACAGCGGGAACCAGCCTTGATACCAATTGCAACCAGACTCGTCTTCTTCCTTACTCAGTATGAATGAAAACAGATGGCAATCACACTGGCGCCAGGCGCCCACACAAAGCGCAGAGTATCGAGGCCAAGAACACAGCTCAGATTCAAACTTGCTTCCGAAGGCTATCACGCCTGTGCGATCATATGACACCCAACCGACACTGTATTCCTGACACTGTTCACACGCACACTACTCTGGATCTCCCTCGATGTCCCACACGACACCCACTCCACACAACACTCTCACCCATACACAGTACAACCTATCTCTAACCTACGTCAGCTATGGCTGCCTTCTACCTCCTAGCGCTACTAGCGGCTATGGCCGCTTCGTCTCCCTCTTAGCCCACTTCTCCTTCGGGCACCTGCAGACCTCCTTGCACAAGATGCTCAGGCAGCGCTTCCGCACAGCTCACAAGCAGAATGAATGAATGACTAGACGCTGCCTCTTGATTTATACTCCGGATGGTCGCTGGTCTGCCCCTTTCCACCGGGCCCAGGGTGCACACAGACCAACATGGTACTTGCTGACTGAACAAAGTGCGACTGGGACTGGGTACCACTGACTAGGTGAGGTTGGACTAACCACTTGCTCACTTGCCTACAAACCTTAGCCTAACACTACATGAGGGTTGACTTCCGGACCTTCCGGAACTCCATAGACTTGACCTTTCGGTACTCTAGCACCTACGACTTGACCTTTCAATACTGTAGCAGCTACGACTTCTGCAATCAGACTCGACTTATTCACACTTTTCATGCACGTGAACAGCAGAACAGCAAACAGGCGACATGCGCCCACACTGTACTTAGAGATATCGTAACCAGATAAGAGTTCTCTTGTAATTGGCTATGGCGGTTGTGCGCCCAAACAACTCGTTGTTCACACTCTGGATCACCCTGGATGTCCCACGCACATCACTCTGAACACACACACAGTACACACACACTGCACTCTACACTAAGCTATGGCAGCTATGGCTGTCGCTACCTATCGCTATGGCTACCCTGCTTCACTCTCGCCCACTTCGTCTTCGGGCCTCCAACAGACCTCCTTGCACAAGACGCTGAAGCAGCGCTTCCGCATGGCTTCCGCATGAATGAATGAATGGCTGGGCGCAGCCTCTTGATTTATACTTCGGTGCTGTGTTGGTCTTCCCTGTACCCCTGGCCCATTGTGCACACAGTCCCAGACGGTACTTGCTGGACTGGACCGGACTGGGTGGACTGGGACTGCTGACTGTACTAGGTGGACTACCACCACTTGACCACTTGCCTCTGCTTAACGCTTAACGCAGGCTCACTCCGAAAGGCCACTTCTAGAAACCTCTAACTTGGCCTTTCGGTACTGTAGCAGCTACGACTTTKCCCTTTCAGGTAAGTAGCAGCTACGACCTTGACCCTTCAGGCAGTCTACAGCTACGACCTCTGAACTGTCTAGACTCCTACCCTACAGGTCTACAGTTTGAATCCCTTCTACCCTGTGACCTACGAAAACCTACCTACCACTGGCGGTCCTACAGGTAGCAGGTTCAACTCTATGGGTTGACACCGGTACTGTACGCAGGTAAGATGGGGAACTAGGGATAGAGCCCTGGGGTCTGCATCAGCTACTGCGAACTGGTGAATGCCGTTTCACTTCTATGCCTACTAAGACTCCTAACCGACAGATCTACAGTTCGAGAGCCGACAACCACACTAACCTGCGACAGGCAACAGGTGACTACCAAGACACAGGCCGCGGGTTCGGACACACGCAGGGCAACTAACACTGTATGCAGGTAAGGGCGAGATCCGGGGAACGAGCCATGGGAACGGGAACTGCTACCATAAAAGTGAAAACCGTCTCAACTTTCACAAGAAAAAAAAATTCCGGCTTCAAAGAACGAAATTCGCAAGTAATTTGAGTTCCAAGGAAACGTGCAGAAAAAAAATTCGAAATGATTCAATGAAAATTGCGATTTTTACAAAAAACAAACAAATGAAATCTGCAACAATGACCCAATTCCTAAGACTAATTAGCATGGTAACCCCAGACCCGAACACCGGACACTTCCGGACGGTCTTCCGGACCAGTGTCTGGACCAGTCTGGATTTAGTAATTTAAGTTCATAACTTCATATATAACTTGAAAGTTCGAACTGAAACGGTTTTCACCTTTTAGCAGTAGCGAATGCAGATCCCAGGGCTCGATCCCTAGTTCTCACCTTACCTGTGTCGACCCCGAGTGTTTGAACCCGTGACCTGTAGCTGTAGGGATCCTGAAAGGTCAAGGTCGTAGCTGCTACAGTCCTGAGAGGTCAAGGTAGTAGCTGCTACAGTGCTCGAAAGGCCAAGTCCACGAACTTCCGGAAGGTCCGGAAGTGGCCTTTCGAAGCTGCTCACGTTTGAGACAGAGGCAAG